AGAGAATGTGAAAATCACCCTCTCCTAGCCGACCCACTTGAATTTTATTCATAAAACTTAGAGTTACAAGAAAGACTATTTTGTTCCTCATAGAAGATGGGACACATAACTTAAACTCAGATACAATAGACCTTTCACTTTCAAGAAGATAAACCAGAATGACCAAAATACCCCTGACTCGAGCATTCTAACAAATACCTTAACTGTTTTAAAGAAAAATGACATATAGGAGCTTACCATCTATCCTTCTGACCAATTCCTTCAACTTAAAAACAAGACGTTGTATTCCTGGTTGAGCAAATGTATAATGGTCTTGCATACACTCGAGCAACTTTGATAGACACCAATAGCAATCAGCTTCTATGTTAGAAATTTTCTGCGGAGATAGATCCACGATTGACCAAGTCTCCATGTCCTCTTCCAGATATTCAGACAAGAAAACAAATAAAAATGGTGTGACAAGATCATTTATTCCCTGAACATATCCGCTTGCTGGATGCCGAATGGCCCTGAAAACATATTGGGAAACCATGATTACAAAGAGAAACAGCCTATAATATTAAAATGAGTTCACACCAAGGAGTAAAATTGCAAGAGGAAAAAGTCCTGTACATAATTAAGACAAAAAACTATTCTTTATCATTATGTATATATTGGAATTCTTGCAAGCTCAAATTAGATCAATATTTGCATATACTGTTTATATTCAATGGAAACTGTTGAGTCGACAGTCCAGGGGTATTTGAGCCATTTCATAGTGCTTTACTTAAAGTTGTTATGTCTATTGTGTCTGAGGTTAAGTAGAGTGTCCCATACATAAAGAGGGGCACCAAGGCCTTTGTACTTAAGTTGCAAATTGATATATATTGATTCTGGTCGGCTGGGAGATAGATTTCTCTCTTAAGGAGACCAGCCAAACGATCTCTTCATTTTCTCTTCTCTTTCTCTCTTTCTCTCTTTTTCTTCTTCTTCTTCTTCCTCCCTCCTCCCTTTCTTTTTATTTCAGGAAGAAAATCAGATCTGATCGAACCACTAACATGGCATCAGAGCCCTGATTTTCTTCCCAGCTTTTTTTCTTTTCCAGAGCCTTCCAGAACTTCTATTCTGAGTTTTCTTGGTGATTACCTGGAGGATCAAAGAAAGAACGAAAAGGGGTGACCGTTTTTTGTCTAGGGAGGTATTCATGCCTCCAGTTGCATTAGAAAGTGTTGTTTCAGTGGAGTTTTAGAGAAACCCTCTAACCGGTGTATCGAAGAGGGACTGTTAGTGATCAGTCTAAGTGCAACAGTTCATGTGGGGCGTTTCAATGATCTGAAAGGGCACAGTTGTGGATTTCTGGACTTATTGTGGTCGGCCTATTAGCAGGTATGCATGAGAAGTGATTTTCTGTGTGTTTCTTGTTAATGGAAGTGAGTGATAGGTGTGAAAACAGTGCTGAAATCTGTGTACCGCACATATTTCTGAGTTTCCGTGTGTTTCTTGCTGATAGAAGTGGGTGATAGGCATGAGAACAGTGCTGAAATCAGTTACAGCACATGTTTCAGTTGTAGTTGATTGGTAGTGGTGTAGTGTAGTTCTGTGAAGTGAAGTTTTCTTTCTTTTTATATACCCCATGGCAACCCTAGGAGAGAGCAGTGATAAAATATCCAGTGTTATGATTACCCCTGGTTTTCTGAATGTACAAATGACATCTATCAAGTTGAACAGTGAGAATTATGTACCATGGGCCAAGTCAATGGGGGTCTTTCTTAGAGCCAAGAAGAAGGTGAAACATGTGAAAGAAGAAAAACCCTCGGCTGATTCCCAAGGATATAGTGATTGGGAAAAAGAAGATGCATAGATAATGACATGGTTATGGATAGTATGGAACCCAAAATTAGCACGCATTTTATGTTTCTTGATACAGATGAGATATGGGATCATGCCAAGAAGCTTTATTCTGGACAAGATAATACCACAAGATACTCTATCAAGAATATTTCAATCTACAACAAGGAAATCAAACACTTAAGAAGTATTATGCTAAAATGAGGAACCTTCGGAGTGAGCTAAATATCTATCATCCTTTGACATCAGATGTTAAAATTCAGCAAAAACAAAGGGAGCAACTGGATATGACTAGAGTTTTAGTGGGTTTAAAGGCTGAGTATGAACTAGTTAGAGCTTAGATTCTAGGAGGCTCTACTCTTCAATCTGTTGAGGTGTTTTGCACAACTCCATAGGATTACTATTGGGTCTTCAGAGAGTTCCACAGTTTCATATAGTTCAGCCTTTGTAGTGATGAGAGGGAGAGGCCATGGAAATAGAGGAAGAGGTCATGGTGGACTGTAGAGAAGATGGGCCGAATGGCCCATAGGCTGTTACTCTATGTTATCTTTATGTTCTTCTCTGTAATGGGCCTTATTTTGGGCCCATACTCTTCTATGCTCTATTTTTGTAATTTCTTGTCCAACCAAGGACCTCTCTTGTAATTACTCAAAGATTAACTTAATAAAAGTGTATTAGAGTGTTAGAGGGAGGTTTAGTTCGAACCTCTCATTCTCTAACCCTCTTTGTCGCAGCTCTCTCTCTCTCTCATTCTCTAATATTCTCTTGTTTGTTGTTTTGGTTTTCTTGCACAGTCCCATACTTCTAGGGCTGTTTTTCAACTTGGACCTATGTTGCATCGTGGTGGTGGACGTAGTGCAAGTCAAGACTTAGGGGGAGGTTGTAGTAGAGGTCGTAATTATGGGCCTAGGAAGTGTACACATTGTGGGATGGAAGGACACACTGTTAATTTTTGCTATTACTTACATGGACCACTTTCTAAATCTACTAGTGCATCTAGGAAGGAGATGGTGAGTACTCCATGTGATGAGTATGAAAGGTTTCTTCATGCTACTTCCAGCAGAATATGGCTGCTCTTACCCACCCTGGATTATTGATTTTGGAACTTTTGATCATATGACTAGGACTCCAGGTTTGTTTTCCTCCCTTTCTCCATATTCTACATCACAAACAGTTACTTTAGAAAATGGTTCTACCTCTCCCATTTGTGGTGTTGGCAATGTAGACATTGCATCACTGCCTTTATCTTAATTCTATATGTGCCCAAATCTGCTTTTAGTCTTATGTTTGTTAGCAAATTTACTAAATCTCTAATTTGTTCTATAACTTTCTTTCCTTGATCTTGTGTTTTTCAGGATATCAAGACAGAGATGAAGATTGGTGGAGGGCATGAAGCCGATGGATTGTATTATCTTGATGGTGGTGGTTTGGCAGCAGCTCTCCAGTCCTCTCTTACACCTCTCCAATGGCATTGTAGACTTCGTCATCCATCTGTCAAGACACTTTAGTTACTTGTTCCGTCATTGCGTCGCCTTTCTTCATTGGAATGCAAGTCGTGTCACTGTGGGAAACACCATCAGGTTTCCTTTAGTCGTAGAGTAGATAGTCATAGTTTGAGTCTTCTCTTTAGTCCATTTTGATATTTGGGGTCCAAACAGAGTTGTATCGTACAATGGTTATAAGTACTTTGTAATTTTTATTAATGATTAGTCAAAGATGGCATGGTTTATTTTATGAAAGAAAAGTACAAATTGTTCTCCATTTTTTCAAAAATTTTATGCAGAAATTCACACACGATTTGGTGCTCATATTAAGATACTTCATTTTAACAATGAGAAAGAATATTTCTATACGTCGTTTCAAGAATATTTAGAACAACATGACATCCATCAAACCTCTTGCACTTATACACAAAAAAATGGGGTGGCTGAATGCAAGAACCGTCTTTACTTGAGATTGCCTGGTCCCTTTTACATCATATGAGTGTTCCCAAATGTTTTTGGAGTGATGTTGTTCGTACAACTGGTTTCCTTATTAACCGGATGCCATTGTCTATCCTTGAAGGTCAATCTCCCTTGTCAATTTTGTTTCCTACATTGTCTCCCTTTCCACTTATTCCCAAGGTTTTCGGGTCATCAGGTGTGTATGCTTTGTTCAAAATCTACATTTGGGGATGGACAAGTTAGATGCACACTCTACAAAGTGTATCTTTCTTGCCTACTCTCGGACAGAAAAGGGCTACAAGTGTTACAATCCTTCTTAACGTTCCTTTCTGTGCCCTGATGTCACCTTATTTGAGTCTGTTCTGTTCTCTACAAATAGTGATGTTTCTTCTTCATCCCTTGTGCTCCCATTTCATGCTCCTGTTGATGACCCCATTCCTCTTATTCTTGTTGCTCCCAAGTCTTCATCTCCTCCATTGCAGGTTCCTACTGAGTGAGCACTGATCAGGCATGTGTATATGCATTAATCGATACCGGCACTTCCACCAGTTTCTTCTCCATCAACAGATTAGGCAGTTGTTCCTAACCCTGTGGTGCCCTCTCAATCTGACCTTGATCTTCCCATTGTTGTGCGTAAAGGTAAGTGTAGTTGTACTTTGCATCTTATTTCTAACTATGTCTCTACCTCTTATCTTTTTGCTTCCCATTACTAGTTTGTTTCCCTTTTGTCTACTGTTTCTATTCCTAAGAATGTCCAGGAAGCTATTACCTCCCAAGAATGGCACCAAGCAATAGAAGAACAACTCTTATCACACGTGGGAGCTCACCACTCTTCCTCCTGATAAGTATGTTGTAGGTTGTAAATGGGTGTATACTGTTAAATACTTACCAAATGGAAGCATAGAGCGCTTGAATGATAGGTTGGTTACCAAGGGGTATTCTCAGTTGTATAGAGTGGATTATACAAAGACATTCTCTCCTATTTCCAAGATTGGCTCAATTCGTGTGTTGATATCCTTAGCAACTATGTATGACTTGCCCTTGTTTCAGATTGACACTAAGAATGCCTTCCTACATGGTGATTTTAGCTAAGAAGTGTATATACAACAACCACCATGGTTTGTTGCTCAGGGGGAGGATGGTAAGGTGTGTAGACTTCAGAAAGAAATTTACGGACTAAAACAATCTCCATGTGCCTAGTTTGGTAGATTCAGTGAGGTAGTTAATGATTTCGGTATGAAGCAATGTCAGGTTGATCATTCGGTGTTCAACTATGATTATGAAGCTAGAAAGTTTTTTATGATGGTTTATGTAGATGACATTGTCATTACAAGTAGTGATAAGTTGGGGATTGATAAATTGAAGGCTTTTTTGCATGATCATTTTCAAAAAAACAAAAAAAAAAGATCTTCGCAAATTCAAATACATTATGGGAAGAGAAGATGCAAGTCAAAGAATGACATCAATTTGTGTCAGAGGATGTATGTACTTGACTTGTTAGAAGAGACAGGATTGTTGGGTACTAAACCATCTGAAACACCCATGTAACCCGACACCAAATTAAGCACTGATGTGAGTGCAGAATTTGATGATCATGGGAGGTACAGGAGATTAGTGGGTAAGTTGAATTATTTAACTATTACCTGACCTGACATTTCCTTTGTAATGAGTTTGTTCAGTCAGTTTATGCAGAAGCCCCGAGTTCCCCATTGGGATGCAGTTTTAAGAATTGTACGATA